CCCTTCCCCGATACACATCTCTCACATACACATACATACAAACATACCCTCCCAGCTCCCCACATCCCTCCCTACACACACACACACACACACACACACACACACACACATAGGTGAGCAGAGGTTGGGGCAGCTAAGATCCACCAAGGGGCTCCAAAGACAAAGTCCCACCCATAGCCAATAACCAATGGAGGGCAACTACTTTGAGAGTGAAGAGCAAAGATCTGTACCTGCCTGGCTAGCTCATTTGACCTCAGACAACAGCACCTAGACACATCACTCTCAATCATTTCTTCATTTGCCCAAGAAAATGTAAAAGCCAAGAACTATAAAAAAAGGAAGTTGCAATGAAACCAAACACACACACTCTGTGTGTGTGTGTGTGTGTGTGTGTGTGTGTGTGTGTGTCTGTGTGTCTGTGTGTGTGTATACATGCTTTCCTACTTGTTTTGGGAAGGTGACAAGCTACTGAGGATGCTGCTGTGAATAAACCCATTGCATGAGAGGAGGTGGACATAGTGATGGGAGGGGCAACTTCATTTTGGTTTATGTACTTTTCAACTTTCTAGCCAGCACATAGTATTCCCTTTAACTGTATAAAAATGAACACATTGGCATTATCCCCTTTCTAAGGTTGCCTTCCTAGTAGCCAATCAAAACCCTTAAAAATTCTTCAACTCTGAAGCTAGAGAGATGGTTCAATGATTAAGAACACTGGCTCCTTTTTGCAGAGAACCCAGGTTCAATTCTCAGCACCCACACACAGCTCACGATCATTTGTAATTCCAGTCCCTAGGAATCTGACACCCTCTTCTTGCCTCCATAGACACTACACAGACACACATGTAGGTGAAACACTCATCCATGTAAAATAAAATGAAAAATGTTTCTACTCTTTCACAAGTACTTCTACTTTGAAGAATAATAAAGCAATAAACACAAAGTGAAATGATGATAGGGGCAAGGTAAAAGTGGTTACTGCTTACTGCAGGCTAAGCAATCCTGTACGCTACTTAAGTTAAATCATATCACCTCTATGCCCAAGAAGGCTGGGTGATTCATGTGACCAGCTACACATCCAAGACAGAAAGTTGAGCCTTGTGTAAAGAAGCAAGGGAGCATGACACCCTGTCCTCAAATCCCTTCTGCCCAGGATAATGAAGCCTTTGCCTAACAGGCAGATTCCCTCCAGCAAGTCCTGTGCACCCACTGATAAGGTGGTCAGATAACTTAAATAACACAAGGGAAACATAATAAGTTGGGGAAGGGTGGGAAGCAAAGCAATAGACTTGGAAATGTACTGAACAGGGCTAATCTCAGGGAAGCTCATACTGCCCAGGATAATAGGTGTTATTTGTAAATATTCTCTGTTTTCCTGGTTGCTAATTTTGTAACAATAAAACTTCTGTATTTGAGACAGAATGCACCACTTGCAGCAACTTCAGAGCTGTAAGCATCTGCACATGATGGCATGCATATCCCTGTCTAAGGGTATGACACCCCCACAACCAGCTACCAAACTAAGGGACTGTTGAGGATGAAACCACAGATCAGCCACAGGAAGAGCAAACAAAGATGAGTGAATAAAATGAAGCTTTTTTTTAAAAGTTTATGAATTTCTCTATTGATTTTCACCATGCATGCAACTCATCCTCTCCTTTATACCTAGGCACATAGTTTAACAGTGCCACCACCAAACTTCAGAACATTCCATTTCCCAAACAGAAGGTCTGTCCCTACAAAATACTAACTCTGTGCCCAGCCCCTCCCAGCCACCACCCCCCCCATTTTATTTTCTGCTTGTGCACTTGACTCTATGGACCACATCCAGAGCCCCACCTAACACCTCTTACAGCGTCTGTCCTTTTACATCCGGACTTAGCAAAAGGTCCTCATACACCATGAAGGACATGTCAGCATTTCGTTTTTTATGAGGCTAAGTAATATTCTATATCCATATTGATGTGTCCACACAGCTTGGACTGCTTTTCCTTTTCCCTTTTGTCTATGGTGAATGACATGATCTGAGCAGGATGTACAAACACTATTCACATTAAGGCTTTGGTTGCATATTCACCTAGTAGATGGACTAATAGGAATGCACTTCACCCATCCACTTTCCAAGGCTGCTTTTATTTTATTTGTTTGTTTGTTTGTTTGTTTATTTATTTTGTCAGTATGAAGATCCTTAAAGCTAGACTGCTATAAAGTCTGTATCTCTGTCCCTCCTCAGATGCCAAGCTAGCTCTTGGTACTATTCCACTGCCCCTCAGACTCAGCAGTTTCAGAAAACAACAAACACAAGCTGCCAAGTTCCAAAGAAATACAGTCTTTATCTGCCACTGACAGAGACAATGCTGGCTGTTGGAGCAGGCACTTCCCAAGGAGGTACCAGCTAGGTTACGCTCTCCACTCTCTATGCATCAGTTTCTACCCTGTAAAAAGTGGCCACAGGCCCATCTACTTCCAGTCCTTGCCAGCTACATGGACTGTGCAAACTTAAATATTCCAATGCCTACCACAGGCTTCAGTTCCTTCTGCCACTCTAGTATCTTCCAAAGAGTTCTTTGGACTCACTAAGGGAATAGCATGGACATGTGACTTCTGTACTAGCAAGGTTTGGAGGGAAGGGACTTTTCTTGGGCTGATGGCACAGCACCACAGTAATCAATCTGGCCAGTTTTAAACAAAATATCTTGGACCCACCTAGTCCACTATAACCTGGCACACTTAAGTGTGCATCTGGGAAGCTAGAAAAGTAACCAGGCTCCTGTAGCATCTGTCATTTATGCCTGTGAGAAAAGAAAGTAAGCTATTTATCCAGCCAAGGAAGAGGAATAAATAAGTTTGACTCTACAAAACCCTAACCCTGAAACAGCCAAGCAAGAGGGATACATAAGCCTGGCTTGTCCAATGACAGCTATGGAAACAAAGCTGTAACTAATCAGATGAATCTCAAATTCCATGAAGAAAAATCCTGGTACTAAAGTATGACTACAAGTTGATAGAAGTTAAGAAATATAAATAATCCTTGCTGTGAAGATGACACAGGTGTGTGGGGGTAAGGGATGGTAGCACTCTCCTCCCAACCTGGGGATACCTGGGACCCTCTCCACACTGTCTGCTAAACACATGCTGCACATTTAACTAGATGTGAGATGTGCACAGATCTGCAAATGCAGGTCTTTCGCATGCAGGGGTGAGGGACACAGAAGGCTGGAGGAGACTAGCCGGATTTCAGGGTGGTTCCCACAGTGGGCAGGAAGCAGGGGCAGAGGACTGAACTATTGTCTTTGTCACAGCCTAAAAAATATCCTCTTCACAGAGACACTTCCACACTGATGTTTCTACAGCAATCTTCACTATAGCTAAGTTATGAAACCAGCTTAGATATCCAACGACAGAGGAATGCATACAGAAAATGTGGTTTCAATACACATGGAATCTCCTTCTGCCATTTAGAAGAATGAAGTTATACCATTTATGGGAAAATGCATACAGATAGAGAGAATCTCATTACACCACACTCAGAAGAACAAATACTACCTGTTTCTCTCATTTGTGGTTCCTATATTTTACATAGATACACAAAATCACATACATTAATATGACATACAAGTATAAGCTAAAGTATCAAGGAAACAGAGGAAACTAACAGTAGCAGGTGGGGAGAAAATTCTTATTTAAAAAAAAAGTTTTAGTTTAGTTTTATTGATGTGTATGCAGATACCTTTGGAGGCCAGAAGAGGGTGTCAGATCCCCTGGAGCTAGAGTTACATCAGGTTGTGATCTACTCAGTATGGATACACCAAGCACTCATCTAAAGAGATGCTAAGCCATCTCTCTAGCCCAAATCTATATTCTTTTTACGTATATAGAAGCACACTTTCAAGAGTTGTAATGAATGGCACTGATAGGGTTCCTTTTCCTTTTCCTCTTACAGTAAGACTCACTCACTGACATCCATAGAAACCACAGTGACAGAGATGTCCCATTAGCCATGTAGGGAGGGTTTTTAAGTCTGGAAGATAAGCTGATATTAGGAAAATAAGCCATTTTTAATATTGGTGAAGACTCAGAGCCCAAGAATATAAAATGAATAGTATTAACAATAATAATAATTAGTAATAAAGATAATAAGTACAAGATGGTAATGTGAATACAAGTTGAAGTTAATCTTTGATTTTTTATTTCCTTAGACTTTCTGGTTAGTCTCGTGTGTATCTCACTTGTAAACTTTGAGCAATAGGACTAATTCTATATCACACCTCACTGGCAGAAACTCTACCTCACACAGATTACTTCACATGTGCACACTCAGAAGTTGTACTGAGAGGCCACAAAATTCAGCCTTGTAGACTGCACTCAGATGCTTTCAACACATTTGTAGCTGTATAGCCATCCCCACCAACAAACCTTCTGCCTGTAGGCAACCACTCCAATCCCTACCAGACCCTTCTCCACCCAGGTCCTAGCATCTCTAGCTACTTCTATTAGCTGGTTTATCTGTTCTGGGCATTTCATATAAATGGAATCATACAACACAGGGCTGCATGTGCCTAATGTTTGTTTTTTGAGACAGGGTCTCATGTAGCCCAGTTTGGCTTTAAACTCACTATGTAGCTAAGAATGACCTTGAACTTCTGACCTTCCTGTCCTTACCTTTTGAGTATTAAGATTACAGGTATGTACCATCATACCTAATTTATATGTTAGAGAACAAATGTAGGGCTTCTCGAGTGCTAGGAAAGCATGTTTCCAATTGAGCTACATCTCTAACCCCCAAAGATCATATTTTCCAGGCTCACTGGTGGTACACACATATGTGTTGGTGTTTCTCAATGCTGAATGATATTCTCTTATGTGCAGAATTTTTTAATATACACTTTCTCCCAGAATAATGGTTCTATATTTTCACCAATTCTGAAGCAAACCACTTGCCCAGCTCCAGCTTAGCACACACATAGGGAAAGATGGCATAGTTCGAATACCTAGCTCACCTTCTCCTGGGTTGATTTGACCATACTGGAGACCTCCCCAATTCTCAGCTGCAAGGACTGTGGCCGTGGGTATTGCTGAAAAGAGAGATGCAGTGGACCCTGGAAGAAAAAAGGTCTATGTGAGGAGGAATGCATAAATGTAGCTTGGATTTTGTTTATTTTTAAATAAAATAATTTTTTAAAAAAACCCCTGTTAACAGAACATCCCAGCAATGGTTATCAGTAAGCACACAGAGAGAGAGAGAGAAAGAGAGAGAGAGGCGGAGGGGGACCAGCCCATGTTGGAGCTTGCTTACCACTTCGCAAGCAGGACTCCACAAGGAGGGGATGATAGAGATGGCAATTGACTCAAAGATAAAGCAATGAAGCATTGTGTTCAACCCTAAGGTTCAGAATAGGAAAGAAGTGCAGATTTGGGGCAGGCTGTGGGTACACCTTACCCTCTCAGTTGTGTCTCTTCCTTATTATGGAAGTGCTCTTCTCTGGGTGGAGGGAATTACCTCTTCTACTTTATGAGGTTGTAGGCATACTGATACTTGAGGTGCTATCTCCCTTCTCCTCTTCTACTGCTTGGCAGAAACCCAGAGCCTGACATCTCTCTGGGATGTGAAATGACACAGAAGACTACTGACTGGAAAGGAACTTATCTGGTAGCTGTGTTCCCAGTCTTTGCCTTACAGCCCTCCAAAGCTGCTTGGCTCCCCAGCCACATGGTTCAATAAGCTTCATGCATTCTCCAGTGAACTCTGTGTCTCTCTTGTTTTGTTTTTTAATTAATTTTTTGGTGTGTGTATATGTTTATTATGTGTGTATGTAAATACTTATTTGTGTGAATACAAGCACATGGCCTGTCTGTCATAGTCCAAATGTAGGTGGAGGCTAGAGGAAAATCTTAGGTGTCGGTCCTCTCCTCCATCAGTCCTTGTTTGAGACAGTCTACATGCACCAGGCTAGCTGCCAATGAACTTCCAGGGATTTTCATGCCTCTTATCTCACCATATGAGCTCTAAGATTATAAAGACACATCTACCTTCACATGGGTTCTGGGATTCAAACTCAGGTCCTCATACTTTGTGTGGCAAGTGGTCTACCCACTGAGCAAACCTCTTTTTCTGGGGCAGCAGAAGTGGGGAGTGTCTTTCAAGTTAAAAATTTCCAAGAGAGGGCTAGGGATATTGTTGTGGAAGTTTTGGTTTATGATATGTAAACATGTTTTTGTTTTAATCCCAGGTGTGGGATATGGGACTGATTCAGATTGTCCAAAGTGGCAAAATATTTGCCTCGTGTGGGCTCTTGGACAGCTGCAGATGGTTTAATTCTGAGGACTCTGTAAGGGGCTCCAAGAAAGAAAGCTGCTGCCGCTCCTGGTTGCTGTTGATGCAGTGTGTCAAGAAGAAATTGGAGATATCCTGAAATGAGGATTGAACTTGCCCCAAGGAACCTGATGACCGTAACCAGCAGGAAGTAGCTAAGGAAAACAAAACTGTCTTCTCACCACTAACCTTCTTTCTCGCCTACTCAGTATTGGGGTGTTGGAAGGGACTGGGGTAGAGTGGGGAAAAAGAGGACTAAAAACATAAATAAATTAGATTTTAAAAGTAGCACCAACAAGATATAGCTCAGCTTGCCAATTTCTTGCCTAGCATACATGAGGCTTTAGATTCTATCAGCATGGTACTACTTCTCTGAAATCCTAGCACTTGAGAGGTGGAGGCAGAAAGATCGAAAGTTCAAGGCTACTCCTAGGTAAATATTGAGTTTGATGCCAGCTTGAACTACATGAAACCCTGTTTTGTTTATTGTTTTAGTTTTTTTTTAAATCTCCAAATAGCAGATATATTAAATCAATGTGAGTATAAGGCAGTAAAATTTATGCTTTATAAAAGTAAATATGGGTTGGACAGCAAGTCAAGGACTGTCCTCTTAAAATGAGTTCCCTGGAAAGTCCCAGCTTGCATACCAAGATGCCCTTAGATTGAAATCTTTAACTTTTCCTGCCAGATATTCTTCCCTGTCTAAGTTCTGCCTGGGTAGCAAGAAGCTGCTGCCCTGTGTGTCCTGTAAGTCAGGGCTCCATGGCAGTGAGCAAGTTACCTATATGAGTATGAGCAAAAGTAGAAGACAGAACTGGCATGTGATGGGACTAGGGGTGCTCTGGCAGGCCTAGCACAGAACAGCAATGGCATAACTCTCCTCTGATTTTTTTTAAAAAGAATTCCCAATGTCAAGCATAAAATACACAGTTAATTTTGATTTAGGATTTAGAACTTCACCCTATGCTAACAGCACCTACCTTATTCCTCAATCAGGAAAGGTTGTAAAATTTACATTGCAGGAGGGATGATGTTACCATCTCCAGACTGTTCTAGCAGAGTCTAGAGCTGGAGCTGGCTTTTGGGGAAGCAGTTGGCTAAGGACTCTATGAATTTGCTGCACTATGAGCTGACCTTGTGGCACAAAGGCTAGTGCCAGCAGGTGCCATCAGCAGAGTGCCTAAATGCTAAGGTGAGCCAGCAGAACAGAGCACCCTAGAGAAGCCTAGAAATACAGGGCTGCCTTCCTTCCACCTAGGCACTGACTCTGTCCTGGAGCCACAGCAAAGCAAGTAGGGTGGGTGTTTCTTCTTGTGGTGCCTTCTAAGCAGAATTTTGGAAAGATCTTTAATGTCAAGGGATGCTCTTACAAAAGACACAAACTATAAGTTAAAATAAGAGAGAGTGCTGGAAAGATGGCTCAGTGATTAAGAGTACTGGCTGTGCTTCCAAAGGACCTGAGTTCAATTCCCAGCACCCACATGGTACCTCACAACTGTCTGTAACTCCAGTTCCAGAGGATCTGACACCCTCACTCATATACAAGCAGGCAAAAAAAAAAAAAAAAAAAAAAAAAATCACTAAAAAACTAAGGATGGGAAGACTACCTTTCTACTTCTAATCCACCTGCCCCTGGGGTTCAGTAGAGTGAATCCACAGTTTTCAACCAATTTCTGCACTGCTGCTGTTCTGACCAAGGCTAACAACCCCATTCCACAACCACCAGCCCAGACTAAAGAAAGACTGCACACACGAGAAACTCCTCATGTAGGAACTGCCAGAAATGCACAGTCATCGCTCCCCTTTACAAACACACACACAACACACACACCAAACAAATAAACAAAAAACCTAAGAAGTTAGATAGGTGACCCTCAGGCCCTGACCCATATTATAGAGCCTCTGTGATTAAAACTGTGGCTCTGGCCAATGAGGGGAAAAATCTAGAACAGACTGACTGCAGGTGGAAGCTTAGTCATAGGATTAACAAGTGGAAAATGCCATACCATGAAGCTTTGTTTCAAGCACACGGCTGTTTAAAATCTGTATTCAATTACCTTCAGCATGTGCTGGCCCTGGCACCATGCACACTCCTTCAGTTGCACATGAAACAGAAGAGAAGTTCATGTTTAGCCTCAGGTCCCATCCCCAAGATACCTAATTATGCATATACAAATATTTCAGAATCAGACATCAAGAACACTTCTGGCCCAAGAATTTCAGATACGGATGTTGCTTGTGGCAAAAGTAACATCCCAAGGCACTGGGAATGGGGGTTTAATTTTAATATTTAGCTCATTTGTAGAAGTCAGAAGACAAATTGGAGTCTCTCCTTCTTCCATGTGGGCTCCAGGGATTGTACTCTGGGCACCATCCTTGGTAATAAGCACCCTCACCCACTGAGCCTTCTCTCCAGCTTGAGTTTTTGTTTTTGTTTTTTTTTTTTTAGTTATTTTGTTTATTTCATATATATATATATATATATATATATATATATATATATATATATATA